ACAATTAAGTTCGCGAACTCATCCTAGAAAAAGTGCTACATACCTCATTGCTGAAAAGGTCACTACGGTCACCTTTGAAGTACTCCCCTTGGGAAGCTATGCACTGACGCCAGTGCCTAGTCCACCCTTCAAAGCAATTTTGGAACTTTTTTTCTGGAATGGCCATCAGAGCTGTCGTCGTATTACCCTTGATGTCCTGAATGTCATCAAAATGTTTTCCTTTCAATATTTCCTTTATTTTCAGGTACAGAAAGAAGTCATTGGGGGCCAGATCAGGTGAGTAGGAAGGGTATTCCAATACAGTTCTTTGTTTACCTCACAGACAGCGCTGTGTGAGCTGGTGCATTGTCGTGATGCAAGAGCCATGAATTGTTGATGAAAAGCTCAGGTCATCTAACTTTTTCACGCAGCTCTTTCAGCACTTCCAAATAGTAAACTTGGTTAACTGTTTGTCCATTTGATACAAATTCATAATGAATAATCCCTCTGATATCAAAAAAAAGGTTAGCAACATTGTTGCAACAAGTTCTTGAACTTAGTTGTCAGACCTCGTATATTCACATACATATACAAAAATTTATATGTTCAAAGCTCTATAAATGTGAAAATATTAACACCTTAAAGTCCCACATGGGAAAATGACTAAGCAAACTGTGGTTTATTGCCCTAAGAGAGCTCAGTGCAGCATGCCTTATGCTACCCTGAGGAACATTGTGTTCCCTGAGGTATTAACAGGTATCGCTAGAAAAACAGGTATGTACTGTGGCCAAAAAAATTGGGAAGCATTACTTTAAGATGTGAACTATCTACTTATCTCCAAAACTCAGGCACTATCATCTAAAATTGTAAAAATGAGGTATTACAAGTGAATCTACCTTCAGAGCATTGAAACCTAAGTTATTGTAATTTGTGGTAAAACATATGCTACAAAGATATTACAAAGTAGTGATTTCTAGTTAAATATGACAGACTGAACATACCAGTTTACTGCTACTCTCTCCCCAAATCTCACTAACAAGACAATAGAGGGATTTTTAAAAAGCATAAGCAAGAAGAATGGGAATGGGAGAGGAGATAATGGCAACAAACAGCAAAAAGGGAAGGCGTCCAAGGCCGAGTGGGATACGGATCAATGGGAAAATGAGAACAACATCAGCGAGAACACAGAGGCCCAGAATGAACGGAGGGGGCCAGAGCCACGAGAGTGCACAAAGGAAGTTCCAGGATATTGCTCTCACAACAAACTCATCTTGGCAGTGTCTGTGACTGCGGTAGTGATGATTCTGAGTATAACTTTCTGTGTCATTGAGAGTCATTCTCATAAAACAGCATCAGAGGAAGGAAAAGAAGGAAGCTCAAGGGACTTCTTTCGGCCTCTGCGTAAGAGACCCTCATCGGAACCTGAGAGCCAGATGAGCTCTTTCTGGAGAAGGCGGCTGCTTTGGCTTCGGGATATGGGTAGACCTCTCAGTGCCACACGCAAGGAAAACATGACACAGAAAACACGTGACCAAGGTTCTTCTGATGGGGATAAGACTATCAATAAGGATAATGGGGAGTTCGTAGAAGTCATAATAGAGTCTGGCTACAAAACAGTCTACTGATGAGCCAGGTGAGGAAAGTGGGACAGATCATGACAACACCACAGAGTGAACCCTGTCCTACACATGTTTTATAAAATTGNTGAAGCAGCGTCCTCCACAACTAGATTGAAGAACAAAACGACAGCAACTTGTCTGTTCCCCTTCCCCCAATTCCCCATCACTGTTCCCATCCCCCCAATTACCCAATAAAAATCTTTAAAAAAAAAAAAGAAAATGTGTCCACACAGAGACGTCCACGAATGTTCATAGCAACATTATTCATAATAGCCACAAAGTGAAAACAATCTAAATGTCCATCAACTGTTGGATATATAAATAAAATGTGGCATATCCATTCAATGGGATACTATTCAATAATACCAACAACTGAACTACTGATATATGCTACGACATGGATAAATCTCAAAAACATTATGTTAAGTGAAAGAAGTCAGGCACAAAAGGCTATATAATGTATAATTCCACTTAAAAGAAATGTCCAAAATAGGCAAATCTATAGAGATAAAAAGCACATCAGTGATTGCTTGGGGGGAGGCATAAAAATGGGGATTGAATGCAAATGGACACAAGAATTTTTTTGGAGTGGTGGAAGTGTTCTAAAACAGATTGGTTCTAAACCATTTATTTAGAACATTTATCTGTTCTAAAACAGATAATGGTTACACAACTCTGTAAATTTACTAAAATAATCACTGAATTGTACTCTTATAGTAGGTGAAGTATATGGTATATGAATTATACCTCAGTAAAACCATTAAAAAGTATGACATGCTGTCAAAGCTATGTTGTGAGATAATTCATCACGTTATATTACTCAGAAATAAAGGTAATTAACTCCCAATAAAAATTTCAAACGAAAAAGAAATGAAGCCAATCTAAAGTTGGGCCCTTGAAAAACTGATGTTCAAAAAATAAAAAGGGAAAAGTTAAGCAAATAAAATTTGAAATGCAAGAGGAAGTAGGTAACAAAAAGGGCATTATCAAAACTAATAATAAATCCCAGATGAGTTAAAATTTAAATATTAAACATAAAACTATAAAAAATACTGGGAAATAATAGAGAATATTTTTATATCTTTGGGGCAGGCAAGGCTCAGAATCTATAAAGGAAGAGTTTTAGATTTGCTCACGTAAAAATGTAAGACTTCCATATGGTTGAAAAATACCATACAAAAGACAAAAATGATGGACATAAATATTTGCAATTCACGCAACAAAACTGGGATATAAATCCATATTGTATTTCTTTCCATCAAAGATAATATTGATTATGATGAAAATGTTGTCAATTAAATTATTCACTCATATTATTAAATGTTATATTTATTGAAAGAGTTCTTTTAGAGTAAATTTGGTTTAGATTTTTAAAAAATATACCATTCTTGAGCATGGATTTTATTTATTTTTATATATGTGTATATACACATACATATATACATAATACATACATACACACATACATACATTCACACACATATAACTAAATACAGTGGTTAAGGTTTTCCTAAAATGTTTTCATATTCGGTGACTTTATGACTTTTGACCCAGCATTAATGACGCCCATGTTTTCACACATTATTATCCTCTGTGCCTTCAGAACACTGGTGACACAGCATTCTGTAAGGGAATCCATGAAAGTCACTGGCTCTTAAGCTGGCTTTACAATCAGGTAGAGCACATCTACCTTTGACTCCTGCTTAAGGAATGCTGCTAAACTTGTCTGTTTATCACAATGACTGCCTCTTCCCTACCCTAGCAGAAAACTAAAGGTTTATTTCCTGGAGAAGATATGATTGAGTGTCTCTGGTCTGGAGAACACCAGGCAGAGTCAAGGGCAGGGTACATACAGAAACCAGAGAGAGATCAAGTAAAAGCCAGGAAAACCATGACCTCTCCCTCCTCTCCCCCCAGATCACTGGGTCTTTGTCCAAACCCTCCAAGCAGAAAATCCAACACAGGAGACAGGCAAAGAGAATATCCCGGATGACAAATGCACACTGGCTGAAGATGGCAAGAGCTCCATATTGTCAGAGACTCGAGGACAGATTTCTTACAGAAGACAAAACTGATGCGATACTTGAATATCAAGAGAAGATTTGGACAAGTAGAAAAACAAAGTTGAATAATTTACAATACACAGAAAATCCAAGCAAACAAGAAAACAAAGCAATTATTAACTTCAAAGAAAGTTTTAAAAATTATACAGGAAGGGAAAAGTAATCACAGGATACCACGTGGCTCAGCTGTGAGTAGGATTTACTTGGTCTTGATCGTGTAAAGCTGGATGTTGCTTTAACCCCATGATGACACTACTGTATTGGACTGATGGCGAGAAAGTCATCAGTGTCTGTAGAGCTTAGGGGCCAGTCTGGGGAAAAAAGCTAAATCCTAACCCTACAGTGAGAAGTAAATAGGTAATACCTAAATAATTGAAAAATCAATAAATGGCAATGAATGGATAAAAACAGTAAAAGAACCAGCAAAAGAATTTTGAAAAATAATTGCCTCCGGGAAGGAGAAAGTAGAGGAAGGTTATGGACCGACAGTTTTAACAATCGGCTTTGTAGAATTACTTGACTCTTTAATTCATGTGCATATAATAAATTAGGGTACAAAGAGTAGAGAACTATGTAGCTATTAAAAAGAAGAAGGCATGTCTAAATGTACTGAATTGGAAAGAAAGGAGGCCACAAAATATTGTTATACTGAAAAAAAAGTTATAGAACAAAAAAATACATATTATGTGATGCCAGTTTGATTTTTAAAAAGTCTCTTTATAGACTCCTCTCCCCCCAGAACTCTGTTTCTCTCTAGTTCTCACATGCATGAATTAATCCAAACTAGCAAAAATATATCAACTAATAAAATTTAAAAATAGAATGTTTTAGGGTCAGCCAAGTGGCGTGTTGGTTAAGAGCTGGCTTGGGACGCCAGAGGGCCCCGGTTTGGATCCCACATATGAGGGCCAGTGACACTGCCCTCTACAGCTAAGATGCTGNCAGCCAGGTGTGGCACATGATTCACTTCCAGTCAAAGGGATATAAACACAAGTGTAGTATGCCACCCTGGGAGGAGGAGGTATGCCATTCTTGGCTCGCTCCTAGGTGATTTGATAGCTGAAGCTCCAACAGATGTCTTGGACTAAAAGGAGGAAACCACAAGGTAAGGACAACAGAGCAATCAGATTCAGGAAGAAAGAATTAAACTTGTATCTTATTTAAACCACTTCTATTTTGGTGTTCAGTCACATGATAATAATGGTTACATTTTGCTACTATAACACAGTTACTATTTTTTCTTCTCTAAGAATAAATTCAGGGACTTATTTTTTTTACCTTATGTACCATGTATATGTGCAAACTGTATATCTTAATTTTCACCTTAACTTCTGCTTACCCAGATCTGCACTGTGCACATCTTTCCCACGAAGAATGACTAAGTTAGCAATGGAAGTGTTAAAATGAAGCTCCTTGTTGAGAGACATTTTTCCAAGAGTAGGAAGTCCTAATAAAGGAGGCTGTACCTGCCAATCAATACCTACCAAAAGAAAAAAAAGCAAGAGGTATTATAAAGGGCTTTGAATAAGAAAAGAATAATGTATCACGGTATGTATATTTTACATACATATATTTTTATTTGATACCTAAAAGTTGTTTTTTTCTGAAAAAGTTTCAACTTCTACCCGGTTAACCTAAAGTGATCTAAATTACTCAATCCTGAGAAAGGCATGAAATATTCTTCATGGAATATTAAAGGATGCTGGTAGATACATACAATGGAATTCTACTCAACACTAAAAAGAAACTAACTCCTGATACACGTAACGACATGGATAAATCTCAAAAGCATGCTGAGTGAAACAAGCTTGGCTCAAAAGATTACATACTGTATGATTGTAATTACAGGACATTCTGGAAAAGACAAAACCATAGGAACAAAATTCAGATCAGTAGTTGATAGGGGTTAGGGGTAGAGGGAAGAAACTACTCAGGGGTATGAGGGAACTTTCTGGGATGATGGAAATACTCTATCTCAATTGTGGTAGTGGTTACACACTTTATAAGTTTGCCAGAATTTACAGAACTATATACCTAGAAAGGGTGAACTTCACTCCATATGCCATTATGAACAAACAAAATACAAAAATGTTATGGGATGTAGAAACACAAAACCAAAACAGGACT